AACAATAAAAGACACCATGACTGACTGAATTTCTCATGCCAGTTGGAAAATGAAGGTGGGGTGGGAGCTGAAAGAAGCAGCCCTTCATACAGTATTGGCATAAGGGTCAGACCAACCTTTTTTCCAGGTGTGATCTTACCAATTTACTGCTAAGAATACGCCATTCCACACACGCTTGCTCCCAGAACTGAGAAGGAAACTGTGAGAATGGTGACTTAACTCCTTGTTTTGAACCCAAGTTGGTGACAATGAGATGTTTAAGGTTAAAAAGTGGGTTTTTTTCCAGGAAATTCTATACATGGCCTCAGTGAATGTGCTTAAGTCATCATCTGAATATATGACTTCTTGGATAAGTTGCCACTTCAGTCTCCACTCAGGTTGTAGGACTGTGGGAAATGAATGAGAGCATCAGCTAATGTTGATGGAGGATCTCACCCTGCAGGGGTCACAGATGAGTCTACAGGCAGCCCTCTTGATCTACTGGCAAGGACAGCCTGCTGTTCTCAAGTGGCAGTCTGGGGTTGTGATTTGAGGTGTACTGGATGTGAGTATTGGCATGTGAACAGACAACAATATCACACTGTGCAAATGGCCACGTATGACTGCAAAGATGAAACCTTCCTCCTAAACTGTGTGAGCCAACAGGTAGTCATGCATTTCACTTTTTAATTCTAAGCATGCAAGAGATTAGACCCATCACAACTCTTACATGTTTTATGAAGCCAAAGTCATCACCCACTAGGGTTCAGGCATGGCTGTACTGCTACTATGCAAAAGGTGTCCTCCACGGAAACCAGACATTTCTGCAATCATAAATTCTGTCACTTAAATAAAACAACAAAAAACCTGCAATAAAATTAAACACCCTTACCCTTCCAATTTGTTTCAATGATGTGTGTGGTATCTAAGTGCTCTATACCATAAAGCTACCTGTGGCCTTCAACAAAGGTATTTTACATACAGATTATCAACATGTTTTTCCAGACCAAAAGAACAGGAATTTAGGTTAATTTAATAGAAAAAATAAAATATGGAATAACATTGATTTTGGCCAATATCCATTACAACAGAACTACCCTATTTTACAAATAACAACTGAACATTTTACACATGTACAGTATTTTTTCAGTAAAAATGAATTTGGATATAACAATGCGTCAGGGTTTTTTTAAAGAAAACAAAAGACATTTAACTTCTTCTCTATAATAGTGTTAGAGACATTTGTAAGTATCCAAACAAATTCTTTACAATCCATTACATAATTAAATCTCAATTATGAATATATATTTATATATAATATATATAATATTAACTTAAACTTTGAAAGCATTATGTTCTAGTTAAACATGGTATACTGAGAAATGAGGCAGTAACAGACTAGTAGTTAAACTAGCTTTTAAATTTGAATGTTTATCAGGAAATTGTAGTGGGCACCAAAGGAGCTTGACTGGCCCCTTGTCATACCGAACAAGGTTGTAACAGTTTATCTGCTCTCTGCTAAAGGTGGCACGTTACCTCTATAGGTTTGTATCCATTTGTTTGTACAATCATTTTTTATCCTCTTTATTTTCTAACATTTACATGCTTAAACACCTGCAATCCATTTTCTATTTGTGTGTCCGAAAGATAATTGAGAAAGACATTTTGTACACTTTAAGTATTATCCCCTGAAAACAGTATCTTTGAAGTTCAATTTTCTGTTTCTGCTATATGACTGTCTGTTGGACAGTATGCTAAATGAAGCTGATGAAGATATATTAAACAGAAATTTGTATTGGCAGCTGTGTGCCTGGATAAAGAGAGAAAGGCAGGGGCCGCTTCTCTCACCACCCAGGATGGTTGGTTTTACAGTGAGGTAACTCCATTGGTCTCAGCAGGACCATTCCTGCCAAAATTTTTATTGTGAGCAGCTAAAAGCAGATTCAGGCCCACCACGGCATGATCGTTACATCAAGAGAACCACTGATTTATTGCCCTGTATGTAATTATTCCTGGAGATGTATTTGGCACAATTATAAATCCAGTCCTGTAAACACATCCTGTTGCATATAGTCACACTGGCATTTACATATCAGCACTATGAAATAGCTCCACATATCTGTATGATAATATCCCCTTTTTTTTTTGTGAACGCTACAAGACAACAATAATTTATGAATACTTCTTACATGTTAGCAATGTTTTCTGATTTCCGAGCGTATACATTACTCTCGCTTATGCAAACCAAAAGAAGTAGTATCTTTTGAATTTGTTCACTATAGGAACAATGTTTTTTTTTAAAGTTTATTTGAAATAGCTTTGACAATTTAAAAAAATAAAATAAAAATCCTAGCATATCTGTTAATAAGCTAGCAGTCTAAAAATGAAATCTATATGACCAAAACCACATTTTGGGCAAACATATATACATACTGCATGTGATACAAAAAACAGCACACAGCAGAGGAAGTAAGAAAGAAATGTGTGCAGAAATGTTCACTTTTGTTTTTTTAAATACTGTTACAAAAGGGGCAGAACTTAGTCCTGCAGCTAATGATGTTTCTGATCCCCTCAGGAACTCAAGTTCCCCCTGTCAATACATATAGCACAAAAAAGACTAATGCAAACATTTTTGTATTGTTTAGTTTTAATCCATGTAAACTTGTGTTGCATTCTCGAAACACTCTTTAAACATCTTGAAGGGGAAAGAAGCAGGAAAAAAAGGGAAGAAAAGGACCTTCAAAAATCAGGAATAATCCTAAGGTTGACAGGAAATCAAATCATGAGTTAATCGTTAATTTTGGCATCAAATGCTTTGGTCACACAATACTGACTCTGTGATCCTGGATGCTCAGCTCTAGACACCCAGTTATGAAAGGTAGGCGTGTTGTAGTTTTTCCATATAAGTTCCAACAAACAGTTCACCATCTCCCCAGACAAAGAGCGGGGAGAGAGACAGAGGTGGCTTTCTTTTTATTTCTTTTTTTTTTTCTTTTTTTCTTTTTCAATAATACCGATTAATCTATAAGTCTACAGGAGCAGGAGGACGCTGGGAGGTGTCAGTTCACCCCTTGTGCGTACATGTTCTGCAACACAATTGCTGAAGCACTTTCCGCTGGCAGAGATTGTTCTTTTTCACCAGCATACAGAATCCTCCCTCGGCCCAGGACTCTTCCGTGGCTTCCAGAGGGCAGCAGCAAGAGAAGGAGGGGAGGTTGAAGGTTTGGAGAGTATGGCGTGTACAATGGAGGAAGGTTTAATTGGTCAGACAGGTAGATTTGGTTGAAGAGACCATTCAGGAGCAGGTAGCAAGTAGGAAATTTGGTCCATCAAAAGGAATTTCAGTCAACAGCATATTTTTTTTTTTTTTTCGGGAAGAGATATTGTGTGGTCCAACAAGGAATGATTGGTATCCATTTGTGAAAAGGAAAAAAAGATTAGAAAGAGAATAATTAGAAAACAGTGATATTTACAGCAAAGGAATTTGTTCTCATTTTTTATGAATCAAAAGAATAAAACAGTCAAACCACAGAAAAAGAATAAAACATTCTCAACAGAAATGCAAATCCTATAGAGTGAGTTAGACTAGTAACCAGGGCTTGACTGTCAAGCAATGAAATGAGACCCTCTATACTTTGTCAATTAACAGGAAAAAAAACCCTTCTGGACTTTCCTTGGCTACCCTAGACTGTTGAGAACATGCTGTGTGACGAGATCCAGCATGGTGCACTGCAATTGCCTGGAGGCCCACACACAGATGTGCTGTCCTTTCATGGCAGCGGTGCTTGGAAGAATGGGGCAGAGAGTACTGAGACTGGGTATCCCCAGTCTTGGGCAACTACTTGTGTATCTGATTGAAGTTCAATGTGCACAAATGAAGACAGATTTATCCAACTATATTAAAGACAAAACTGGTATGTCAAATGTTTGCATTGCAGAATTCAACCGCAATACCATACTGAGATAGTGGTTACTCAAAACTCTTAGCATTACACTTCCCCTTCATTTGTCCATCTATATCTGACCTTCTACGGACTTGCTCCAGATTACAGTGACACTTCTAATGTCCTGATGTGAAAAGGTCTCATGACTGGTTTACCAGTACCTGTAATGTAACTTTGCAATGGATACTTTTGTATGGACAGGATACTTTTCAAAGTTTGAAGGCCTAAAATCCTACAGGCGCTGTAAAGGTCCACAGAAATGAGACTTAACCCAGCACTTTTTCTTTTTTTCGAGTCTTTGGTAAAACTCTCACTAAATCTAGCACAAATGAGCTAGACCCAAGAGTCATTGTTAGGTTTTTGTACATCTGTTGTCACATATCTTCCTATGGCTTAACACTGAGCTTTGTTCTCGTATGATTTTCCTGTGGGACTGTTGAGCAGCATCTACAAGTAATTCACATACATTTTTAGGGAAGCATGATGTTATCTAAGTGTCTCTGTCATTGTGACATTTGAAAGGAATGATTATTAGTGAATAATTAAAACAATCAGAGGCAATAAGAATGCTATCTTGGTTGTCACAGAGAACTTGGAGGAAGTTCAAATCTCCACCACAAACTGGGTGCTCCTTATTTGAGAATGCATTTGTACTCATTACCCTTTCACATGATTCAAGCAATACTACAGGCACTTAAGATCCTTTCTACTTACCAGCATTTTTACGTTTTAAAGTGGTGAAATAGATAAATGTGATTCTATTGACAGTACACTAGGGTCTTCATATAAAAATCTTTTGAAAGCAATGGCTTTTGAAAAACATAAGGAAGGAAAAGTAGGTTGTTGGCAGGGTGGAAAACTATTTTAGGAAAATTCAGGTAAAGTGGATGTGGCTAATCTTGTTAATAAAGGCAAATGTAGTTTTCTCCTTTTCATCAACCTGAAAAAATTAAGAAGTAACGTAGACCTCAAATCAAGCCTGTAACAAAAGAAAAGAAACGGACCAAACCAACCCAATACATGTGAAAGAAGAAGCTGGCAGTGATAAAATGGATCTTTTCAGAGAATTGCACTCACCATCCTTGCAGACTGTTCCCACTACACAGACACCAGTGTCTAGGTTATAGCCGCTTGGACAGCTTGTACAGTTTCTGTCTCCTTGACCGTTGCAATCCAAACAGCTGGCATCGCATCTGAAAGACAATGGCAGGAGTTGGTCTTACAGGCTCACCAAATACAAGAACTCTGAGACCTCTTCTGTATTGCAAAGGGCTTGTTTGCTGTTTCTAGAGGTATCAGCTATAGTAGTAGTAGTAGTAATACTTACCCTGCAACTCAGTCCTGCTTCTTTCCTCCAACCACTTTCTATTCACACTTTTTTACTAAATAGTTGCATTATTCTAGTATTTTGGAACATGCAGAAGTAATCAACAAAAGTATTAAGCCATTTGTGCACACATGTGCCAGCAAGGCATGAGCTAAAGCCACAGGATGGAAAAGACTGACCTGCTGTCCAGTCCTTTTGTCATCCTTCTGGCTCCATCATATCTTCATTGTATATCGATTATTTTTTTTGTGTGGAAAACTGTAACATATCCTGCCCTGAACTCAAAGTCAGTCAATAATAAAAGATTCCAAAGGGCAACCTATGTTATTTGTTTAACCAAGAATGGAATAGAAAAAAAAGTTCCTTCCTCGCACATCATAGCACAGCCTTGTCCAAGATTCATTCACCCATTTATACACTGAATCAGGTGAGCTATTCTGGACTGCAGTCTGGTAATATACTTGTGACATGTTTGTGAATATGCAGCTGAAGAACTGAAATGGTCCTTATGAATAGTAATTAACTTGCAATTAAAAAAACCTAGTTTGACTATTTTCGTTTGTTTCTGAGAAATCCAGATCCTCTGCCAGATTTGTAATTTTTACATTTCTATTACTTAGATTTTCACTACAGGCTTTTTTTAAAGTGCAAGACACACATATATGCACAAGCAAAAACACTTTTAGAAGACCTGCATGGGTATAACTCACATTAAAACAAAACCCCCACGCTTTTCCTTCATTTGCTTGGCATGCAACATATTTTTTTCTGGTTTTGAAGTTAGCAGTGGTTTATGTTCTCATAAGTATTATCTTTTTCAACACAGTGATAGCTAACATACTGCCAAACATCAGACACACACATTAGCCACTGATCATACCTTTTGCAGCTTTTGTATCCACTTTCAGTAGAGTGATCAAGGTAATAACCACTACTACAGGACTGCACGCATTTTCCATCTTCCATAAAATAACCCTGTGTGCAGTTTATACAGGCATCTCCTCCAGCACCTTAAATCAGAGAGAAAATATACTGTATCACCGGCTAGTCCCTCTTATTGCCTAACAGACACCACCTCTAACTACAGCAAAACCTTGTAATTTTACAGACTTTGTTTTACCTGCCTACTTTCTTTCAAACAGTAACATCAAGCAACTAAGGTATGTGGTTAGATTAAACAACATTGCACAATTTCCGTATATCTTTATTTGAAAGAAATAACTGTTGGTAGTTCTAAAGCTTGCACAAAATATATCAGTCATTATTATTCCATGCCAGAAAGAAAATGGACGGCATTACTGGAGATCAGAATGAGGTCTAATAAGAGAAAAAAAAAAAAAAAAATAAGAGTGTATGCACACTTTCCATCAGAAAACTTAGATATTTGTGTTAGCTGAAAGAAATCTGCTGTATTTAAAATATATTAAAGAACTATCACAAGAATTAAGTTTTTACATGTAAATGATCACATTATACTGTAACTGTGATATAGTAGAACAAAATCAGAGCTAAAATCATAGAGAAAAGGAAATCATGTGGATAAACCAGTGGGGTACCTGCACACGTCGCACAGGAACGGTGACATGGTTCACATTCTCTACCATTATGGTATTTTCCTTCTTCACAGCGGATAGCACATTTAGTGCCATGCAAACTATTATAAAGAGGAAAAAAGCAGAGTGCTTGGGCAGATAACAGCAACAGAGGACAACAAGGTCATACACAAACCAGTAGTTCTCTTCTAACGAAAGAACAACCCATGTATTAGAGTTCACCAGCTTCCTTCATTGGTCATATTTTATAAATTTAGAGACAGCAATCACTTCAAGTGGGAATGAAATTCAGTTTTACCCATGGTGAAATACAGAAGCTGTTTACAAACTCATTGTAAATACTACCAAGTAGTAGGGTACATAAAAAAAAAGAATAATGCCAAAGAGTACTAAAGATTCAGGCATGTAAAATGCAATTACCCACAAGGAATTTGGCACATGGTCAGCACCACTGTATTAAAAAAAAATGCTATGGGGGTTTGTTAACAAGATCTCATGATTCTCTTGAAAGACCAGCAGCATCTCCTGATAACCACGCTACAGCACAGGTTAAGAATAGATTCACAGTGAAGGAATTAACCACCTCTTTCTGCAATAGCAGTTTCCTTTGAAACTTCCTATCTGAATGCCAGTTCTGAGTGGCTGGGGAGATTTGTCAAGATTACAGTGGAGGTATTCTGCCTGCAGGCACTTTCGAGAGAGCACAAAAGAATGAGTAACAGAGGAAAAAGGAATAGCATAAAGAGTCACATTTCCATGCTTCCCTTTAAGTAGCTGTTTATGCTTTCATGTTATAAAGTGCCTACAGCAGTGCTAGGACTTCTCTGCCATGTTTGCCACCTTTTGTGAAACCTCAGCTTTCATCCAATGTAACTCTTTCTCTAAAAATGCTCTTTGGCTCTGGGGATTACCACCCTGAGCGACTGCTAATCCTGTTTTACAGACCGGATCCAGCAAAAGTCGTGTGTGCTCAGCACCACTGGCAATTTTCAAGAGTGCATATGGCCCCAGTTTAGGAAAAAAATTAAATTAGCAATTCAACATACTTAACAACTGCTGCTTTCTTATTATTTTTCCTTAGTTATACACCTTAAAATGCTTTACAAGACAGGTAGCATTGTCATGTTTTTACAGATGCGAAAACTAATAATTTGCCCAAGTCTACTTAATAGGCCAGTTACAGGATCCGAACTGGCCCTGCTCATTGATAACTCTGCCAAGAAAACGCAGCATGTTTGAAACAACTAGGCAATATGAAATCCATGTCCTGCAAGCTTCCATTTATCTGTCACATCCACACAGATGGTGTTTTTTTTCAGAATGTTACCAATCTCAGTTTTCTAATACTGCCCAAGAAAACATGAAATTTGGGTTCCTTTGATTTTTTTTTATTTCAATTCCTCCTTCCCTTCTGAAACTGAATGGACTTATCTGCTTTCTTCAGTGGTGCCACAAGCTGCTGTTTGTGTTAATGGACAGGGAAACTCAGTTCCTCAGAAACATAAAATGTGGGCATAAGTTTTTTATAGAAACTGAATGTCTATGTAATCTTTGGTATCCCGATATATTTGCCCATTGTAGGAACTTCTAAACTGCTAATTTACTCATTTGATTTTGCAGATACATAGAAGGTCATGCTGAGTCTGTTAAAATTCTCCAAAATCTTAACACAGACTGCAAATTTAATAACATTTTAAAAGGGAAGCAGATACTCGTATTTTACAGAGAGTGTAAATAGACCAATGTTCTGATCTGATCCCATGCTTTCCTTCCCATTAGATCACACTTTCTTTTCAAAGAGTCATTTAAAAAAAAATAAAGATATTTGTAATGAAAATTGTACAGGCACTTGGAAAATCTAGATGCAACATTAATACACAGAAATGAGAATTCCTTTACAAAATATAACGGAGTCCAGCTACTGAAGTTCTAGAAGGAAACAACATTCAGCTATTACTAACTAAGAGACGAAAATCCACTTGGAAGGTAAAAGCTCAGTGTTAAAACATTTTCAGAACACTCATATTCTGCAAGAAGAACCCCTACAGGTACTGAATACTGACTTCATATTTTTTGTGGCATAAAGCCAGCATACATTCTGTCATGAATTTTATAAGTTTTTTGACCTTTGCTGCTTGGATCAAAAGGTCTTTCATTCATAAAGGAGCTTGAAATGTGTAATGCTGTTTTGTATGTTTTACCTATCGGTTTCAAGAATGATTGTCCCCCTACAAGCAAAAAATATCCTGTGCTGTTTAAAATATGTGCACACTATATTGTAATAGAATTGAGCCTGAGGTACTTGAGATAAGTGAATGACTGGATTTATGAAGAAATAAAATAAAGATAAGAAAATAGTTTCTAACTATCACAGGAATGAATCAGAAAGATTAATATGATTCATCAGCTCTGCCTCTAAAATAACTCTTGACTGCCACACTGTACGTCAGAAAAGTGAAGAAGCCAGCTTTCCACATGACTGTGGCTTTAATTATACCTGAAATAAGAAGCCTTCTAAAAATCCGTTGTTAGCCAAACTGGCACATAGTAGCACAAGAAAATACTCTATTACAAACTAAACAGCTATGCAACACACGAAATGAGGGCCACTCAAAGGTTAAATAGCTATCTGATGTTCTTCTTTGTTGTATCCACAGCCCTGTAAGCCTCTTCAGGTATTGGGTTTAGCAACATCCATCATTTCCTTACCTTAGGCCATGTTTGCATTCTGTGCAGATTTGGAATTCAACACAAGTCTTACAGTTTTCACTACATTTTCGGCAAACAATTTTATCTACAATGAAAAAAAAAAAAAAACAGCCCAGAAAACCTAGGTCAGTTATGTTTAATAAAACTATATGGATACATTATTACATGACTTACTGCTTTTGAGCTTGACTTCAGGAAGGGAAGCAGCAAGCTAGACTAAAACAGCTAAATTCTGACTATCATCAGCTTTTTCCATCAAACATCAAATCGCTTAATCTATTTCTAAACATTTGAAGTTATAGTTGTATCCTGAGAAAAACATGCTTTGAGGTCATTAAAAAATCTTCATAAACATTTTTAATTTACATTAACTATTTACAATACGGACTTAAATTTTCTTTTCAAATAGCACTCATATGCAGTAATGATTGCCATGTGTTCCAAGGCTGTACAGCAATTTACCTCTTACACTGTCCATGCAAGCAGCATGTCCTGTCCTCCTGATTCAGTATTTAAAGACACACCTGCATGAACACGTCTGATCTTAACAAAGTCAACGCATAAATTACTTAACACCTGCCTTTTCATCTCAAGAGCGCCCTACTTTAAGAGATGTCTCTCTCTGTTCAGACCTGCTATCTTTCGAGATGCAGTGCCATGTGCCTTTCTGAGAAGAAAAACCTGATGTTCCCATTTAATCATAAATTTTCACCATTCCATCTGAATTGGGTGGAAAGGATTTCCCTTTACCGTAGCTATCACACAGTGAAAAATGGAGGAATTAAAGTACTAAAAGTTTTTACTAATTCTCAAAAATGGACACACAGCTTCATGATGCAGAAAGCAAAAGATTAAGTACCTAGATGAACAAAGCTCCTGAGCACATATTTATCTTGTAAGGATCTGTCTAAAGATACCTGAAGTCACTGCAGTTTTAAGCACATGTTTGAATACATGTCTAAGTATTTTTGCTAGTCAAAGCTGGAAATTAAACATGGCCAGTCTACTTGGCAATCACAGGAGGAAACTGAAGGCAGGTGTCTCACATGGCAGACAATTACTGCTCTTGGATCATCACATCACCACAGATACTTAAGTCTGTCAAAAACATTAATTGCAAGTATGTTTTACATTTGAGGAGCCTGTTTTTCTTAGAGCTCTGGTTCAGTGGCCATGGTCAGCTCCTCAGCTCTCTCTTCTATCTGGTGCCATGTCATTTCAGTCTGGGGGAATGTCTCATGTTCAGAATGTGGGCGACGCCTGTCCCTTTCTGAAGTAGTGATAACCTGCTCTGTCCTGCAGCTGACTTGCTTTTGAACTGCCCTCTCTCTGCTACTGCTACTCAAAGCCACAAGCAGAAAAGACATCCTACCACTAAGCATGATTTTTAAAATAAAGGAAGATTTTTGTGGAGATTCTTGATCACACTTGGCAACAATTTGATAAGAGGAATAGGATAAGAGACAGATGCATCAACATAGACTTTTCCTGCTCATAAGTATTCCAGCAACCTCCCCAGATCAAATTCTGTAGCCCATAATAAAGAAACAACAAGAAATACTAACTCTTATCCAGGTAAAACCCATCAGGGCAGTTGGTAATACAGCTATTGGTTACTTCATTCAGGTAGTAGCCAGATTTACAGGTCATGCACTGGTCACTATGGCCTCCAACACAGGTTTCACAATTGGGTGAGCATTTTTTACAGCGTTTCTTGTCTGCATTGTAGTGACCAGGTGGGCAGGTCGAAACACAGATCCTGCAGACAGCAGGGAAGAGAAGGCAGAGTCGTTAATGAAATAACCTGCCACCACATTCCTGGACCATGACTGCAAAGCAGAAGTATTTCTCAGCGTTGCTGATTTTCTAATGATCATATGTTTAATAAGATGTAACCGTCC